AAAATGTTCCAAACTTGATGAAAACTTAAAACCCACTGATCCAAGAAATTCTATGAACCCCAAGCACAAGAACATAAAGAAAATTCCACCAAGGCATGTCATAATCAAATTGTTTAAAAACTGGGATAAAGAGAAATCTTAAGACAGAGGCATGTTACATGCAAAGGAACAAAGATTAGGATAACAGCTGATTTCTCATCAGAAACAAGCAAGTAAGAAGACACTGGAGCAACATCTTTAAAGTACTGAAAGAAAAAGATCTGTCAACATAGAATTCCATGCTGAGAAAAAATATCTTTCAAAAACAAAGGCAAAATAAAAAATTTGTATTCAGCATACAGAAATCACCACCATACCTTCACTACAAGAAATATTAAAGGACATACTTTATGCAGAAGGAAAATGAGACCAGGTGAACATATGCATCTACACAAAGGAAGGAAAAAAGAAGACTTAAAAAACCCCTTATTTTAACAATCTCTTTGAAAGATAATTTTTTTATGCAAAGATAATAATAATGTATCGTGGGGTTAATAACATATTTATAAGTAAATATCTAAATACCATATTTAGAAGTAAAATATCTGACAACAATAGCACAAAGACTAAGAGGGGAAATAGAAGTAAACTATTTTAACATTCTTGTACTATACACTAACTGATACAATAATTCTTGATGGTGTATAGTGACACATTAAAGATGTATACTATAAATCCTAAAACAACTACTAACAACAAAACAGAGGTATAGCTTACAAGCTAATAAAGGAGATAAAGTAGAATAATAAACAACAATCAATTAATCCAAGATAAATGAGAAAAAGTGGTAAAAACAAAGAACAGATGGGACAAATAGAAAACAAACAGCAGAGTGGTACATTTAAACTTGGCCATATCAATAACCACAGTAAGTATAAATAGTCTAAATACCCCATATAAAAGCCAGAGATTTTCCAATTGGCTAAAATTTACAAGACCTAACTGTATGCTACTTATAAGAAGCCTACTTTATTTGTAAAAAAGAAAATAGTTTAAAAGTAAAAAGGATTGAAAAAGATACACCATGCTAATGCTGATCAAAAGAAAGTTGGAGTGGCTATATTAATATTAGGAAAAAAGTAGATTTCAGAGCAAAGAATTGTTACCAAATAAAAATGGGTCATTTCACAATGACGAAGGGGTCAATTTCTCAAAAGGACGTTGCAATCCTAAATACTTATGCACTTAATAAGAAAGTTTAGAAATACATGATATAGAAATTAATGGAACTGATAGAAGTAGGCAAATCCATAATTATAGTTAGAGATTTCAACACCACTTTCTTAGTAATATATAGAACAAGTAGACAGAAAATCAGATATTGTATGGAAGATTTGGGGAACATGATCAGCTACCTTGACCTAACTGATATTTATACAACACTCTACCCAATAGCAGCAGAATACACATTCTTTTCATGTCAGAAGGAACATTTACCAAGACGGATCATATTCTGGGCTATAAAGCAACTCTCAAAAATTTTTAAAGGATTCATCCATACCAGGTCCACTCTCTGACCATGATGGAATTAAATTTGAAATCAATAGCAAGAAGATATAAGGGAAATCCTCAACTATTTGGAAACTAAATAATATAATCTAAATAACCCATGGGTAAAGATGGATATGAGTAAAGATAGATATGCTCATTCTCTTGATTGTGATGATGGTTTCATGGGTGTAAACATATGTTAAAACTCATCAGATTGTATACCTTAAATATGCACAGTTTAACATATTCTAATTATATCTCAAAAAAGCTGTTAAAAAAAGACATGTGCTCAAAGGTTGAGATTTAATAATAACCACAATTTTTATTTCTTCATCAATGATATTGTTAAGTGAGACTGGCTCTTTTTCTTTTCTTTTGTCTTTCTATCTCTTTTTTCTTTTTCTTTTTTTTACTGTGCAGGGCAGTGAAGTAGGTTTTGTTTTTTTTAAAAATAGTGCAATTTTGTGTTCTGTCTTGATAAGTGCTAGGGTGCCAGAAGTTTTACCCATTATTACTTTAGGAACATCAGTGCAAAGTTAATACAGTAAAAAAGTAAAACTTGCTTTTGTATTATTGTAAAAATTGATTTGACCTTGCAGACATCCAAAAGGGTCTTTGGCAATCCCCAGGGGTCAATGGATCACATTTTGAGAACTACTGTTTTAATACAACTTTCTGGTCATTACTGCTTTAGTCCAATAGTGTGTCTTTAAAGGTAAGACTAGGTATATGAAAATCCTGCCACCAAAACTGCATGGGGAAGACCTTTATTAACAGTTGAGTCCTTAATGTGATTCAAATCACAGTATAGAATCTATACCATAATAAAGATGATAACCATTCCACTTGTGACTAATGCTATCACTGCATACACAAATAATTTTTTTCCATGATGAAAAATGGGGCCTGCGGTTGTTTAGTTCAATGTAATAGTCATGGGTTATCTTCCACATAAAGAGTTTGAAGACAGAAAAAGTTGTAGTAGGGAAAAAAATAGCAGATAGAAGGCATTTCTGAAAGTCTCCAGAATGAAGGAGGAGAGGAAAGAATGAATGAAGAAAAGGGGAAGGGTATATTTAGGGTATAAGGCATAAGAAAAGATAAAAATAAAGAGGGAAGGGACACATAAATAGAGAGTTGTATTGGATTCGTAGATTTATGGAAAGTTGTCAGAAAAGCCCGCATGTGTAAAACACGATTTACTAAAATCAGTTTCACATACTATGCAAAATGTTTTAGATGTATGGGACACATCACACGGATACATGAGTAGTGGATACAGAGATGTACTGTTCATATTCCCTTCAGTGAAGGACTCTGTTCCAGCTGTTGGAGTGTCGCTGGCAGACAGCCTCTAGCTGTCAGCTCCTTTGGCTGCAGAGAACTGCTTATAGGAAGTCACCCCACTGAGGTGAGGGTACAAAGCTTCAACCATTTGGGGTCACTGTGGGACAACTCTGACAGGCGCTTTCAGCTCCAGGGCTCTCCATGGGGCTGGGTGAAGCTGTGGAGGAGGAGGCCGCTTCTCTGCTGACTCTTCCCTCTGCCCAGTCTGGTTGCTCTCTCTCCCTCCCACAGGGGTTTGTCCCAAGGGCACTCCCTAATACACATCCTGAATGCTAAGCTGTGTTCCAGAGTCTACTTCCTATAGATCTCAAACTGCAACAGCATCTTACTGACTTAAGTATAATCAAAATTGGAGAAGATTGGGGAACTTAGGCAATGGAAACTGTCAAAATTATGTGTTAACCTTTTAACTCAAGCATTTCTGTATTTCTCATTTTGAATTGCTTATACTTAGCATGCTATCTTTAACATTTTGTTTCATGTAGGTTTGCTATTTCCACCTTCCCTTTCTTATAGAAATCACACTGTGGAAAGATAAAAAGCTAATAGGATAAGAAAAACAATTACTCTGTTTCTTACCCAGCCACTCAGGAAACCCACAATTTCAAGGTTGGCCTAAGCAGCAAAAGAGGAAAAATATATTGGAAGATGTGATAGTGGTTTTGTTCTGAATACAAACCAATGGACAATTCTGGGGTGGTCCGATTATCAGAACTGACCATGGATGTACTAAAGAAGCTATTTAATTTTGTTTGAGCCGGAAGATTTGAATTGTTACTCAAAATTCTTAGACGTGAATAGGATTAGCAATTTTGAACATCAGGGAAGTGTGTATTTCCATCCTGTCTTCCACCATAGCTCCAGAGGAGGGCAGACATTATTCTCACGTCAGCCCTCTCCCTCTTTAAATTTACTCTTATAGCCAAGCCTAAGAATATAGAGTGGGTGAGCCTTCAGGCTGACTGCATTACCTTCAGACTTTTGCTGTCTGGCAAACAGGTCTGTTTCAGTGTCCTTGTTTTTTTTCAGGGATCTATATGTTACTAGATGACTCATGGCAAGCCACACCCTGATCCTTAGTTTGGAAGAAAAAGAAGATGGTGAAGTAATTGTCCAGACAACTTAGACTAGAAAGGTACAGACCAAACTGAGATACCATTTTGTTTCTAGAATTATCTTGATAACAGTGATTTTTTTTAACATCTTTATTGGAGTATAATTGCTTTACAATGGTGTGTTAGTTTCTGCTTTATAACAAAGTGAATCAGTTATACATATACATATGTTCCCATATCTCTTCCCTCTTGCGTCTCCCTCCCTCCCACCCTCCCTATCCCACCCCTCTAGGTGGTCACAAAGCACCTAGCTGATCTCCCTGTGGCATGCGGTAACAGTGATCTTGGATGTTACAGAGTAAATACAGTTTTATTTAGCTTTTCCTTTGGGGGGCATGGATTCCACTGTGAACATTTTAGGTCTCATGTATATCAGACAGTTACTTCAACCATACTTCTCAGCTTGGGAGTATGATAGTCTGTCCCCTATAAGGCAAGGTAACTATCTGTGAGAAAAAAAGAGAAAAGATATGATGGACTGTTATAAAGGAAATATTTTGAGGGTCCCAGTTCAGGCTTTGTTTGCTCATCTGTTAAATGGGATTAATACCTACCTCACATGGTTAGGAAGGGTAAATATGGGAACATAGGAAAAGCACCTAGGGCAGTGGCTGGTACAGAAGTATCCGGTAAATATCGATCCCTGGCCACCCCTTCTTAATGAGCCGTAGGAAAATAATTCTTAACCTCACAGGGTTTGATGAACCCTCCCTCCCCTTTCTATTCCCAGTCATGGCAGTGGAGATCATAAAAATGCTTCCTCCATGTCTCTTCCCTCCTTCCTTTCTTCCTCTCCTAGACAAGGAAGTGGCCGTCTCTGTTCCCATGGATTCGGAAGCTTGTGCCTCTCAGGACAGCCCAGACCCCGGGTTGCTAAGGTGGTGGGTGGTGGTGGAGAGCTGCGGCTTCGGCCTGCGCAGCGCAGTGGGGCGGCGACCGGGAGGCAATGGGGAGGCGGGCGCAGTCGACCCAAGGGTGGAGAAGGGGGAAGGCGAAGGACGCGCGTTCCCGGGCTCGTGACCGCCGGCGGCTCGGGGAACCGGCGCTCAGAGAGCCCAGGAGAGATGGCAGGCGGCGGGGACCTGCGCGTCATGGACACCCTCCGCCTGCTGCTGCTGGTGGCCGCCCTGCCCCTGGTGTCCCGGGGTGTCAGTCGGGGAGCGGCAGACTGGACCCAGGAGAAGGTGAGGGGCTGCTGCTGGGCGATTGTACCTGGGAGGCTCTTGCGGGTGCGGGGACTCAAGAGTCCCGTGACCCCCACCTAGGTAGGATGGGAGGCGGGGCAGAGCCGAAGTCCCCGGCCCCTGCGCCCCGAGGAGTCGGGGCTCTGCGTCCTCCCTGGCCGCGGGGATGCTTTGGAGATGCCACGGGAGCTGGGTGATGTCACCGGCCTCCGCTCGGCTGCGGTCGGATGCGGGTACTGATAGGCACAGGAAGTGTGACTTGCCTGCGGTGGCGGAGCCGGGAGGTGAGGGTGCATCGCCGCGCCGCCGCCCGTTCGGGACACGCGAGGCCAGCGGTCTCTGCGCTCCTGGCCGCCGGGGTGCTGGCCGCGTCTGGCGTTGTGCCCACCGCTCCCTCGCCGCGGCATCCAAGGAAGCCCACCCGACGTTGAGGTCTCCATGCAGTCTCTGCACGGTCCTGTCACTGTCAGTCTGTTTTAGATTTTTAAGCGGATCAGCTCCGAACGAAGGAGCTTAACTGGAGACATGCTTTACTTTAAATATATATATATATATTTCTCAAAAGACAGTAAAATGCAATTGTCAGAGAAATGTATAGAGTTGGAGATTTCACATGAGGAACTTAGGATAAAAGTGATTGGCAGGTTCCCTTTGTGTGAAGTATATAGGTTCACAATTATTTCCCTTTCTTGTGTAACAGTTTTGAAATCCTGAAATTGCTAGGGACTTAAGCAAAGGTTAATGGTATTGGAGTAAATAGTATACTTTTAAAGATACTAAGAAAAGCAGCAATGTAAAGGGATATAAACTTTGACAGTGTTGTTGAACAGATCTTTTAAATGCTTACAGTCTGCCAGTATTGATTCGCAGCTTGGAAATCCAGGACGTAAGGTGAATGCATAGGCCCTCTCGTGGTCCACATGCCTCTCCTGCCCAGCCACAGGCGATGTGTATGAATAGCCCACTTCAGCTCTCTGGGTGACACTTACAGCTTCACCATTCAAGGGCCACAACGTGCCCCACTTACACATGGACACCGCTAGCCATAGGGAACCTGGGGAGGATGAGGGTAGTCAACCCAAGAATAACTTCATTATAAGAAAAGCTTCCTTTGCTGTGCAAAAGCTTTTAAGTTTAATTGGGTCCCATTTGTTTATTTTTGTTTTTATTTCCATCACTATGGAGAACAGTATGGAGGTTCCTTAAAAAGCTACAAATAGAACTAGCATAAGACCCAGCAATCCCACTATTGGGCACATACCCTGAGAAAAACCGTAATTCAAAAAGGGACATGAACCACAATGTTCATTGCAGCACTGTTTACAATAGCCAGGATGTGAAAGCAACCTAAGTGTTCATCAACAGATGAATAGATAAAGAAGATGTGGCACATATATACAATGAAATATTACTCAGCCATAAAAAGGAACGAAACTGAGTTATTTGTAGCGAGGTGGATGGACCTAGAGTCTCATACAGAGTGAAGTAAGTCAGAAAGAGAAAAACAAATACTGTATGCTAATGCATATATATGGATCTAAAAAAAAAAAAAAGGTACTGTTGAACCTAGTGGCAGGGCAGGAATAAAGACAGACGTAGAGAATGGACTTGAGGACATGGTGTGGGGGGGCGGAGGGGGGAAGCTGGGGCGAAGTGAGAGTAGCATCGACATATATACACTAATGTAAAACAGTTAGCTAGTGGGAAGCAGCCGCATAGCACAGGGAGATCAGCTCTGTGCTTTGCGATGACCTAGGGGGTGGGATAGGGAGGGTGGGAGGGAGGCTCAAGAAGGAGGGGATATGGGGACATATGTATGCATATGGCTGATTCACTTTGTTGTACAACAGAAACTAACACAGTATTGTGAAGCAATTGTACCACAATAAAGATCTATTAAAAAAAATAAATCAGCAATATCTTAGCAAAAAGAAAAAGAAAGAAAAGCTTCCCATAGGGATTCAGCACAGACTTAAATCTTCTCCTTCCTGACCAGAAATTGGGAAGGGGCATTAACTGCCGAAATGTGGAGCCGCCAAATGTGTCTATGATACATGGACATGAATGGAACTAAACAAGGTGGGGACTGTTTGAAGGAGCTGCTCTGAAGGGATCATCTACAGGCAGGATGTATTTGTGGGTGGGAGAAGGTGCTGGATTCTTACAATGTTTTAAATGAATGAGACTAACTTTTGAGAAATGTCTTTTAAAGCATGCATCCCTTTTATATTTAAGAAACTTCTGATCGCTTTTCTATTGGGAAATTGTTTCCTTTGAAGTGATGCACGCTAAAGAAGCAAATGACAAAATCAACCATGACAATTCCTGGTTTCTGGTCCCCTGCCCTCCCTCACTCTCCAGGCTTTCATAAAGTCTTCCAGATGTCACGTACAGTTTGAAGCCTGGGAAATGAATTAATCCACACTAAAATACATGCCTTCCTGCTCTGAATGGCATTTAGCTATTTTAGTCACGTGGGGTGTGCCCTTGGCACACTGGTCTGCCGAAAGGTGAGGTGTGGTAAAGGAAGCATTGATTTTGAAATCCATTTTCTTTGCTTTGAAATAAAGGTGTGTCTCTAACAGTGGGATCTAATATGTAAGAACAGTTCAACCCTAATTTTTGGTTGTGTCTAGAAGACCGTGATTTGCTTATTTGAAACTTGTAAACATTGTTTTCCAAAGAAGTAATATTATAAGTTGGTAGATTCACAGGTGGGCCCACAGGTATATATTTAGGGGCATTGGCATCTGGGTACCAGGATTCTATATATAAGCATCTGACTTGAATCTCACCGTGCCTCTGTGAGGAGGGTACGTTCATCCCCAATTTACAGATGAGGAAACTTGACCACCATTACAGCAGCGAACTGAAGAGCCCTCATCTTTCTTTAGTTTAACTATCCCTTTATTATTGGATAGTTAGGTTGTTTCCAAACTTTATTGTAAAGCTGGGACCCAACATATTTTAATTGGTAGAATTTTCCTTTATTATTTGAGTCATATTGAGGGTGGAGGGACAGATTTTTTGAACAGAGGAACCTTGAACAGGAAAGTTGGCCTCACCTGAAAGTCCTCCTCCAGGGTAGTTCTGGAGGACAATTACTGCTCTCACAGCATTTCACATGCTTCTGCCTCTGGAGCCACATACATTCTAAAAAACCTTAGGGTTCCCCTCCTCCATGGTTCGAAAAGTTCTTAGCCATCTACCCCTCTACCCATCATGATTCTTGTGAATCATGAAGCAGCAATGGAGACTCCAAGGAAGGGACAGGGGGCCAGTGGTAGCCTGGGTATTGGTGGCAGAGGGAGAAAGAAAATGTGCCATTTTTTGAGCTTCTACCATCTGGCAGGTAAGTACTATGACATCCGTTATACAGATAAGGAAATTTTTCCTAGCTAGTAAGTGAGGGAGCTGCGATTTGGCCCTAAATTGTTGTTTTCAAAGCCTGCACTACTTTGCTTTTAGATAGAGGGCTGCTAGCCTTTAAAGAAGACAGAACTTTATCTTATTCACTTCCCAACTGTTCCACAACTGCGTTTGTAATATCAGTGGCATCTGACACAGAAAGAGTTCAGTAAATGCCGGCTGGGTTGAATTTGCCGTAGACACAGGTGTTAATCTGAGTGCTGTCTGGGAGACGCTCATATGGGATGGAAACTAGAATTGAATTGGCTATGCTTCTGTAATGTTCTCCCTTTAATTCAATGGTTTGGGACCTCAAATCCCTCTGCAAGCTGGGCCAGCTCTACAAATTATGTAATTAAACTCCTCTTTGGCCTGGCACCATGTGATTAGTCCAGAGGAGATGCTGTAGGATATCTGGGTCACACTTTTTTAGCTGAAAGATTCTTGTCACCCAGAGCAGACTTATTGTCCTTTCTGCCTGGATGAAAGACAAGGCAGGGGCTGTAATAGAGACTCATTCCTCTGAGAATGCCTGTCCCAATAGAAAATTGTCTACATGCCTTTTAACTGAAATAAACCTAGAATAATTGGGGGTTGGCATTTAACATTGGGCTCAACATAGTTTTGCCTCATTTGTTTACTCTCCTCACGCCCAGCCCACACTTTCTTTCCAGGTTTCCCCTCTTCCTCCTTCCTCTCAGCCCCACATAGATGTTTAGATTTATTGGATTCTGAGAGTCAGCCTCCACAAAAATAGAATGGATGCCATTTAGTTTGGAAAAAGCGAATGCTTTTCCATTCAGGGCTTTAATAAATATCAATAGAAAGGCTTAAGTAATTAACTGAATGTGACTGTTTCCCCTTCTCTATCCATCACTGACTGGGAAGCTTTTGATCTCTGTGATTTCACAGGGGCATCTTTATTCCCAGGGAGGCAGGGTGAAGGAGGGCACTTTACTGAAGTATGTTCATTAAGTGGGTGAGCCCAGGAGATTGAGGATCAACACAGGTCAGTGTCTGTACTCAGGCGCACTGATGGGCCTGTCTGCTGAGCTTACCCTTTATGCATCCATTAAGCATTTTTTGGTGCTATTTGTCAACTGTGTTTCATCCACGATATCTGTTACAGGTAGAGATGCTGGAGGGTTATTTATTTTGTTCCCATTTTTTCTTAAATCTCTTAAGAACTCTTTCAAGCCTCCATAAATCACCTATTTATATATCTATCTTCTTCCTCCCCGTCCTTATTTCCCAACATCTCGGGGCTCACGGGAATTTCCTTGGCCTCCTGTTTGGCCCACCAGTTGTTGGACTGTACCCTGCAGGCCTGCAAGCCTTGTAGTTGCCTAGTTTCAAGGCCAGAGAAAGAGCCCGGTGACAGTGATAGAGACATCAATGATTTATTGGACAGGGGGATCTTACATGTCCAAAACAAAGGGTCCTGGAGTGACACTCCACCCCACTGGGCAGGTGGGCAGTGCGGCGGGGGGAGGTCATGGCAGCAATCTTTAATATAAATTGCCCATTTACACATCAGCTTGATTTCCTTTCACTGTGGACATGGAGTGAAGGACCACAGTGACCAGGTAGGTTCTGGGATGGAGTAATAGTGCATAGAAAAGGAGCCCCTGGCCAAACAGCCTTTGACACAACAGTGCTTGATTGTCACAATGACTACTGGGCCAACTCAACTCTAAATCATCACAAGCATCGACTCTCAGAAATTCAAAAAGAACAAAGCCCACCAACATTGACCCACAGCACTTCCTGGCCCTTTGCAGCAGGCAGCCACTTGTCTTTCCTGACTTTATAATTTCTGTTCATTCAACTGATTTGGTATACATGATGGCAAACATGCCCATTTTACTTTATTATTATGTAAACATAATCTTAGTGAAGTTGAAACTATTTTAGAAAAATAGTTCATCTGTCGATTCCACATTTGATGAATTCATCCAGTATTTATTGAGTGTGCCACGTGAGCTGGGTACTGTGTGGTTCTGGGGAGAGAGTGGAAAGTAAGAGAGATAGTTCCTGTCCTCCTGGAGTTGCCTCTTGCATGAAATCAGACATTAAACAAGTAAACACACAAGGCCTCTGGGCTACCACCCGAAATGAGCAGGAGTTAGCCAGGTGAAGAGGAAGGGGAAAACCTTCAAGGTAGAAGGCACCACAAGGCAAAGGCCCCAGGAGGCCTGAGCCTCACACTGCTTTGGGTCCTGGAAGGATGCCAGGTGACTGAAGCATGGTGAACCCGGGTGGGGGCTGGGTGGGGTGGGGTGGGGGGTGAATGGCCCTGCATGGGGCTTGTGAGGCAGCAGGAGAGACCTGAGGCTCTTGTTGGCCCAGTGTTAAGTAATAATTAACCATGTAAGTTTCCCACTTCTTGCCTCCATTCTCTTTTCACTTCTCACATTTCTATTGTTGTCTTTTAGCTCCTTCTTCCTTCTCAAAGTGCTGTTTGAGAGTTAACAGGAGGACTTAGATCTGAGGTACCAAGGAGTTTAAAGGCTGCAGCAACAAATTTACTAAGGAAATATATTTTAAAATGTATTACCAGTAAATAAACACAAACCTTGAGATGTTCCAGATACAGCATTGATACGTTGTGTTTAACAGTGGAAATTCACAGACAGTGTAGGAAGGCAGAGGAGAACTAGCATGGGATGGGGAATCTACAGGGCCAGGATCCTTTCTCTCGAACTTACCTGTAACTCTCCTACAACCTTGGGAAAATCAGTTGGTTTCTCTGACTCAGTTTCCACTGACAGAAAGCAAAGAGATTGGATGATAATCATCTCTCAGTGGCCTTTCCAGCTTGGAATTCTATCCCTCTTAATGTTTGATAGACGGTAATAGAACTAATAAAACTTTCCAAATAGTTACTGAGGCAATTTATATGTATTAGCTCAATTATAATTACCCGAGGAAGTAGGTGTTATTACCTCCCTTTTACAGATGAGAATGTTAAGCCTTAATAAGGTTAAGTAACCTGGCCAGCTAGTAAGTGATGGGGAGTTGAGTTGAGAGGCTGAGTTGAAGGGGGGTGCCTGGACCCACAGCTCACGCTCTTTGCGTAATACCTGAGAGTGACGCTGAAGCATAGCAAAGTGTAGATGGGTATAAGTAATTAGGCAACAAGCATTCTCTAATTCCACAGTGTCCCATGGAGTGAAGATAGCCATGTGGTAACTTAGACATAGTCAATTTACACAGGTCTTGGAAAAAGCTGTAAAGTAGACAGGGCTCCCCTGAGCTCTGTTTTGCATTCCAAAGAATTTATGTTACCTTCAACATTCCCCTTAGGGAAGAAATCCTCTGATCAACGAATCACACTGATCCCTATGGGGAGGAGTAACACATTCCATCATTGAGTACCTGATAAACATGTAATGAATGGGCGCTTCCCTGGTGGCGCAGTGGTTGAGAATCCGCCTGCCGATGCAGGGGACACGGGTTAGTGCCCTGGACTGGGAAGATCCCACGTGCCGCGGAGCAGCTGGGCCCGTGAGCCATGCCCGCTGGGCCTGAGCGTCCAGAGCCTGTGCTCCTTAACGGAAGAGGCCACAGCAGTGAGAGGCCCGTGTACCACAAAAAAACCCAAAAAAAACAAACATGTAATGAATGAATGATTCATCATTACTCGTATCACATGTAAAGTCATATCCAAAATACAAATTTGAACGTTATGTTTGTTCAGCTGCTTAAATTAAGGTTCACTTAATTAATATATAAGTGTACCAAAGAGTGTGAGCATTAATAGAATATTAAAATAATTTTCACTGAAGGCAAAAGGTGTACTATTTAGTGGGTCATAGAATCATCAAGCTCTGGCTGAAAACAATTGCAGCAATCATCTAGGTTAGTGCTATTCAATAGCAATATATAATGTGAAGCACATATATAATTTAAAATCTTCTAGTAGCTCTATTAAAAAAGTAAAAGGCGATAGGTGAAACCAATTTTAATACTATATTTTATTTAACTCAATATATCAAAAATTTTCATTTCAACGTGTAATCACTATAAAAATTATTAGCGAGATATTTTCCATTTTTTTCATGCTAGGTCTTTGAAATTCAATATGTGTATTTACACACATTGACTGTCTACATTTCAAGAGCTTAATGGGCACATGTGGCTTGTGGCTACCACATTGGACAGTGTAGATTTAGCTCAAATTCCTTTATTGGTATTTTGAGGGGAATGAGAATTTAAGGGACCTGCCCAAGGTCATCCAACCTATAAATGGCAGCCAGAAACTTTGAATCTAGTTTCAAAGTTTCTAGATTCAAACTTTGAATCTTTTTTCAAAAAAAAAAAAGACCTGAGGCTTAAGTATGCAAATTAACTCGCTCAAGGTTGTACACGTAGCAGTGATGAGGCCAGAACCTGGACTGGTATCTGCTTGACCTCTCCATCCAATCCCTGGAGAGTGGTAGCAGGGAGAGACCAGCTCTGTGGTGTGTGCTTACAAATGTGTCCAGCTCTGTATCTTCTCAGGCCCGGGTCCGAGAGTGAGGTGCATACCACTCATTTCACCCCAAGAATATACTTATTCTGTAACACCTCACTGGCTTTTATAAAACAATTATGCTAACAAATTATATTGTTTTTTGGCTGTAGTTTTTGAAATATTAAGTTTTCTTAAGACTAGGATATCAATTGTTATTTGTAAACCTTAGTTTTACAAAGCAATTGTACAAAAGTTATTAAAATTACACAGGCTATAAGTGTTAAATATTAATTCTCAGGTTCAAAGCATTATATTAATTCTGTTTTAAAAACAAGCCACCAAAACAGTTCTAGATCTAAGAGGCCAATTTTAAAGTTGAGTAGTTTAATTTACTTTGTATAACGTAAGAGCTATCCCTTTATTTTGAGGTTCAAAGCGAATATTTTACAATTGCAAGTGTCTCAGGATAAGTCTTAAACATATTCTGAAATGATAGCCAGTTAAATAATTTTATTTGATCCTCAGAATTATCACCAACCAGCCCTTTTGAATGTATCGTCTCTTCGACAAGTTGCAGAAGGCACCAGTATTTCTGAAATGTGGCAAAATGACTTACGACCGTTGCTGATTGAGCGATATCCCGGATCCCCTGGAAGCTATGCTGCTCGCCAGGTGAGAAAACAGCACACAAACCTGAAGGCTGTCGAACACTTTGTTTTCACATGAGAGATAACATTATGCCTGAAGTGCCGAGTTGTCTGATATTCAGATCTGTCATCTCATCTTTTTCACTAAAATAAGCACCCAGAAAACCAAACAACTGAGAGCAAATATCTGTTCTGAATTAAAAGATGCATGTTAACCTAAATCAATTTATGTGTGAAATCTCTGTCTGGGGTGCAACATCAGACAGGGTACTAAGTACTCAACTCTTGATCATTTCTATGACACAACCCCAGGTACCCAACCGAGTTCTCTTGGACCCTAAACACCCAATATCAACAGGCTTGGACATTTCTTTCTTAACGGCTCTGGGTCAAGAGTGAGTTATTGTCCTAACAAGCCTTTATTCCCCTTTGGGAAATTGTATTCTCCCAGGAGGGAGAGTCAAGATCAGTGATAAGCTACTCTGTCCAGTACAATGCTTCTCAGGCTTCTGACTCTGGCCCATGGTAAACAAATATATATATTTTACGTTTTATACACACAAACATAGAGTTAACTGATACAAAAGTTTCATGAAAAATACTCCTATTACCTGCAATCTACCCTGATATTAATTCTATTTTACTATTGATTATTATGATTTTTTAAAAGCTGGTCATGACCCACTAATCTGTTTTCAAGGAACACTGATTTGCACACTGCAGTTTGAAAGGCACTGCTATAGAGGGTAGATTAAGCCATAAGGTGGGCTAGACCTGAATGTCTCTCTGTCTCCTTAGTGTCAGTCCTCTTAAGCAATCTGAAACCCCAGCTCTGAATGACTATTTTTTCAAAGTAGCCCCATTTTAAGGGGAAGCTTGGGAAGGAATCGGGTGAGGCTGGCCTCTCATATCCTCCTCTGAGAGTAGTCCACCTGCCCTAACACTTCAGGCAAATACCTTGGCACTCCGCTGCTGTGACAGAGTGACACCTGCAAGGCCTGGCAGCACAGCTGGTGGGCTCTTCCTTTCTATCCAGTATTTGGCTTCTGCTTTTCAAGTTGAGCCCAGATGCCATTGTCTGTTGCCCCGTTAGCCTCTTGTCTTCTATCCAAACAGCTCTTGCTTCCCCTAAGGACTTAGGTGGCAGAGACCCAAAGAGCACCTTAGTTCTTTCTAAGCTCTAGGCAGAGTGAGGAATAATACTGATGATGGCTGATGTTCATCTGGCACTTTTTTCAGGTCAGCCACTTTACAGAGGTCTTTGCATGGATCGTTTCATTCCGTCCACACAATAATTGTGGGTACAATTGTTCTCCCAGTGCTACAGATTTAAAAAGACCTGAGGGGGCTACTGTGGTGGCGCAGTGGTTAGGAATCCGCCCGCCAGTGCAGGAGACATGGGTTCAAGCCCTGGTCTGGGAAGATCTCACATGCCACAGAGCAAATAAGCCCGTGTGCCACAACTACTGAGCCTGCGCTCTAGAACCCGCGAGCCACAACTACTGAAGCCCGTGCACCTAGAGCCCGTGCTCCACAAGAGAAGCCACAACAATAAGCCTGCGCACCACAACGAAGAGTAGCCCCTGCTCGCTGCGAATAGAGAAAAACCTACATGCGGCAACGAACACCCAATGCAGCCAAAAATAAATAAAATTAAAAAAAAAAAAAAAAGACCTGAGGCTTAAGTATGCAAATTAACTCGCTCAAGGTTGTACACGTAGCAGTGATGAGGCCAGAACCTGGACTGGTATCTGCTTGACCTCTCCATCCAATCCCTGGAGAGTGGTAGCAGGGAGAGACCAGCTCTGTGGTGTGTGCTTACAAATGTGTCCAGCTCTGTATCTTCTCAGGCCCGGGTCCGAGAGTGAGGTGCACACCACTCATTTCAGTGACCTCCCCTGGGCCTCGTCTCCCAAGCATTTTCTAAAAGAAGTTCAGGGCACTTACTGGGTCTTCCCCAAATCCTCAGTTCCTCATTAGAAAAAATCTAGGTCTGTAGCGCTCACTTATCTCCACTTTTTTCATTTCCCGGTACCATTTGCTCAGAAGGCCAAGTATATACTGAGAAATGTATGTGCATACTTCAGACCTGAGGTTCCTTGCCTGTGACCTCTAGAAAGCCATAAAGACAACAAATATTGCTATTTGATCTTTAACGTCAACAGAATAGATTTCACAAATAATACACATAGGTTCTGTCGTGGTTTAAAAAATTCATATTCATTTAAAAGTGTTACGGAATCCATAATAACATCTTCCATGTCATGTGGGGTGGCGGCAAGTGAGAAATTTATTGACGGTGCTTTGGAATGTGCTGGGAATAGCTGCTGGGCTACCTGCACATGGGCTGGCTGACAAAGTAGTAGTCCTAACAGGATGGTTGGGTTAGAAATCCCACTTAAGAGATTTGATTTTATAATTTTGGGGAAAGAAAATTACCATGAGTTTTAGGAAAGCTGTCCCCTAAGCTGTGGAAGATAAATGGTTCCCTCTTTTGAAGATGAGGTAGATGACACTGAGTTATTATGAGGGAACTACACTTAATGGCTTTAATTTGACTAGGATCAGTACCTTTTACTCTGAACTACATTTTGACAAGAATGGTGGAAAATTATTTTTTTCTCCTAGGCATTTTTGAGCACTAGATCAGATGTTTTATAATTCATAGAGTTTCAGGGTTATAATTAAAGAAGACTCTAAAATCTAAAAAAAGTGTGGACTTGATATAAAATTGGTTAGTGATTTAACTTTTATTAGTTATCAATAAAGATGTGCATTGCTATGAATTCCCTTTCAGAAGATAATATGGGAACAATATCCCATAGTCTGCATTTTTATTGTCTCCGATCAATGGGCCTAAAGCGGCCTGTTGGATTTTTAGAATATTTTTATTAGAGAAGATACTTTATTTGTAAATTTAATACTTTGACAGTATTAATTTTTAGAGGATTTCAGTGATTTCTAGCTGAGAGAGGAATAAAAAATAAATTTAAAAAATCAGGGTGGTAAAGTCTCACTAAGGAGCAAGCCAGAAACTTTGTCTAAAAGAGGCAACCTAGAAACTTGGTGGTTAAAATCCCCTGTGTATGTCCAGTGCATCCGAGTAGCTAAAGCTGGGCTTCTTCGTTGAAAGGTATGTGTATCCCTGAATGGAGGGCTCTGGGTGGAGGGCCTTCAGCTTGGAGCCTGAGAGACTAATATATGGTCCACCCAAGAGGGAGGAGGACCCTGAAGTCCCCAGTGGCAGGGTTCAGCATCCAGACAGTGGTCTGTTTGCAGACTTATTGCAAATATCACAGGATCTGCTTCCTCCAAAGAAATCTGCTCTACTAATGACAGTGTTTCTCAGAACTTGGAAATGAGAATGTAAGTTTAATTAATTTGACCCAGGATCATTCACCAGTGTTAACCTAAAATCCCCTGGGGCCTTCCTCCCCAGGAAGTAGAATGCCATGTTTACTTTTATCTTTCTCTCTCTTCCTCTCTGTCTCTCCACTCCCACTCTTGGCCTGTCTCTGTCTCTCTCTCCTTGTCTCCCCCTCTATTTTCATATCCTTTTCTTTGTCTCTCTTTTCAATCTCCATCTCTCTCTGTCTCAATCTATCCATCTCTCTTTGTCTCTTTTCTGCCTTCTCTATTTAAAAAGATAGATGTATAGAAATCCAAAATACAGTCTGTATTTCTAAACTGCATTTTAGCATGCCTGGTAGGCAGAGGCTTTTGCTACCTGTAGTTAGAGAAGCACAGCTGCTTTATGCCCTCTCATAGCCAAGCACTCCCTGTTTAGGGGCACTCTAGTGAGAAGAGCAGTAGCTTCTGGAGCCTACTCTAGAGAATTATAGTGGGAACTTGCAGACTAAGTCTGCAAGCCAAAAGCTCAACTGTAAGGGATATTGGTGACCTAATTAGATTATGCAGCCAATTTGATTGTTTATAAAGAAATTAGTTGCTAAGATAAATAAAAATATTTATCCTGAATAAAAAATGTTAGTTCAGGCAGAACTCTTTTTGGGGGCATTTGCTGATGCTTTTGTGGATTTTAGTGTCAACACAGATATCAGAAATTATGGCCAAAACCTGTTCACTGGATGAGGAATGAGTTTGTGTGTGAGACTTCAGCTGAGCAAAGCTAACAGATATAGCTTTTAAAATCCCAGTTCATTTTGTAAGCATGCAGGCAGCTATTGGTATTGAACACATTTTATGGAGCAGCTCATCATCTGGATACCAGATGTTCTGGCGGATGTGCTTTTTATTTTTTTTTAAGATTGACCCCTTTTATGGAAAAATATCTTTTCGCCAAAGTCTGAGGATAACTTATTTTCAAATTCTCTGGAAAACTTGTCTTAGATGCAGTGATTTCTCTCTAGTCAAACTATTAATGTTCCATATCATATAATTTTATATAATCTCATTGAGAATAACTTATTTGTTATAATCAACCCATATTTACCGATAGCCTACTGTGTACAAAGCTCAGTGCTAAGAATTGTGGAGAATAACAAAATAAATGAGATATGAGTGATAATTTCAAAAAGGTTATAAAGTTTTAAAAATTATTTTTATATGAAAAGACAACCTGTAAATGTGTAATAGAAAAGGTAAGGTACTGTGTATACATGCTCTTTAGGCCAAAGTCCACCTCCTGACAGAGAGCAAGGAGTGAATATCTGGGAAACTGTTTATTTATTTGGCTTTTGCAGGGCTGACTGTAGAAGCACTGTCCTCCCTCTGGCTTAGTTTTCCTCTTCCTGGAAGCTTCCTGCCCCAGTTGTTCCAAGGCCCTTGCCTACGTGTCATGTCACATTAGTTAGGGCAGGTCACACAAGACTTGGCTAGGCTAGAAAGTCGTGTGTGGAGGGGAATCTCCCATTCTTTTCCAGTCATTATAAGTTATTTGTTTATCACCTCAAGGTCCATCCCCACTGGATGTTCATTGTGGAACAAACTGCCGGATGTGTTGATGGTTAGTTTGTTGTGTGACTTAAAAATAATTTTTTAAGGCAACTTACAAAAATCTGTATAATATTTCAAAATGAAATAAATGGAACATAGTGAGGAAAATAAAGCAAAGAGAAAATAAAGATAGGAGAGGGCAAATGGAACAGCAATGAACTCACCTGTAGCTTTTCACACCACAAACTCTAGATTCTTTTTATTTTTTTAATAAATTTATTTATTTTATTTATTTTTGACTGCATTGGGTCTTTTTTGCTGTGTGCGGGCTTTCTCTAGTTGTGGCGAGCAGGGGCTACTCTTCACTGCGGTGCGCGGGCTTCTCATGACGGTGGCTTCTCTTGTTGTGGAGCACCAGCTCTAGGTGCGTGGGCTTCAGTAGTTGTGGCACGCAGGCTCAGTAGTTGTGGCTCACGGGCTCAGCTGTTCCGCAGCATGTGGGATCTTCCCGGACCAGGGCTTGAACCTGTGTCCCCTGCATTGGCAGGCAGATTCTTAGCCACTGTGCCACCAGGGTAGCCCTAGATTCTTTAAGAAGACACCTCCAGTCCCTGAAGTGGTGTTTCTTTTCCATCTGCTGTTTTTCCCTGTCAGTCACCATGTTGCTCACAAAGCCCAAGATGACCAGGAGAGATGGGAAAATAGATTCTTCCTTATTTTCACCAGCGTTTGCAGTGGGTCTGGACCTGCCTTGAATGCAAAGGGAAAACTGCTTGATATGTCATTATGGTTCAGAGTTGCTTATTGATTATTAGAGCGGGCAGAACCTCAAATATCCCCCAACCATCCCCTTGTAACGGGACTCTCTGTGAATTATCCTTAACAGGTGAGCATTAGTATTTTTTGTTAGTGTTTGTTACATTATGAAATATTTGCTGACTGGGGGCACATACTAAGTGCTTCGGACAAAAAGAGCTGCCATGTGCAGTTCTCACCCTCAAAGAGCTTAGAGTAGAAGTTATGACCTGTACGACCCACCTAGTATATCTAATTTCTCAAACCTGTCTTGTTATCCTCCTAGAAATATTAAAAGTGGGCTTTAATATATACTGAACTGGAGCTCCCTCTCCTGATGTGCAGAGATGTCCATGATACACTGTTAAGTGAGAGGGGCAAGGAGCAGAGCAAATATAGAGTAGGATTCTATTCTTATAAGAATATGCATCCCTCGGCCAAATATACGTGTTTGAGTGCTAGTACATGTTTGTATAAATAGGAGAAAGGTGTGGAAAGATATACAGCAGACTCTTAACATTGGTAATATTAACAGTTGGTTGAGTTGGATTGGCAGGGGGAGGTTAAGGGAGAGGGAGATGATTAGCTTTTCCTTTAAACATCCTTGCTTCATATAATAAGCATGGATTGCATTTTTAGCTTGAAAGGCATTACATAAAATTTAACTGTCTAGAGCTGAAATTTTGTTTTTTGTTTTGATCAGCACATCATGCAGAGAATTCAGAGACTTCAAGCTGACTGGGTCTTGGAAGTGGATACCTTCTTGAGTCAGACACCCTATGGGTACCGGTCTTTCTCAAATATTATCAGCACCCTCAATCCCACTGCTAAACGACACTTGGTCCTCTCCTGTCACTATGACTCCAAGTATTTTCCTCATTGGGACAACAGAGTGTTTGTGGGAGCCACTGATTCAGCTGTGCCGTGTGCGATGATACTGGAACTTGCCCGGGCCGTAGACAAGCAACTCCATTCGTTGAAGGTATCTGTTTCCCTCTTGTAGATTCCTCAGATAAAACATGTTAGCAGTAATTCAGAGTGAATTCTAGAATCCTTGGGTGAGTGAGAAAGCCATTTAGAAGTGTAGACTTTCTGTACATTTTGTACTAATTTGTTGTAAAATGAAATGAAGTTGAAATAATATTAATTGGAAGATTATATTATTTAAAATGTTGGGCTTCCCTGGTGGCGCAGTGGTTGAGAGTTCGCCTGCCGATGCAGGGAATACGGGTTCGTGCCCCAGTCCGGGAGGATCCCACGTGCCGCGGAGCGGCTGGGCCCCTGAGCCATGGCCGCTGAGCCTGCGCGTCCGGAGCCTGTGCTCCGCAACGGGAGAGGCCGCAACAGTGAGAGGCCCGCGTAATGCAAAAAAAAAAAAAAAAAAAAAAGTAAAATGTCCACCATGGGCAATAAGTACATGACAGTATATTCATTGATTGGCACTTGATTCCTTAGTTATGAATACACATCAAATTAAAAAAAATTTTTCTTTTTTTTTTTGCAAAAAATGAAGAAGGTGGAAGGTTAGTACAGGCATGTGTAGGAGAATTATGTTTATTTCTTCTTGTTTATATAGTCATGGAACATCACAGCCTTCTATACTGAGATGTGGCGGCCTTGAGTCAAGGAGGGAGTTTCTGCTAGTGGTTCTGAAGTAGACAGTGGGTAATTCAGACACATCAAGATGAAAAGCATGAAGCAGAAATGTATTATTGTTATTATCTGTGAATCTTGGCTCAATTTTATGCAGCATAGCAGAGCTTTTGTTACATTCTCAGCTCAGAATACTTCTGGGACTCTCAGATGTTATTTCAGTCTCTGTGTTCTTAAGTGTATATTGAAAAAAAGTGCTAAGCTAGATGAAGACACTTTGTTCAGATATCACTCATAACCAAGTAAACACAACAAAGCAGAAACAAAAAACTTTGTTCGCAGGCAACAAATACCTTTTTTTCCCCTCAAAGCTTTATGAAGGGGCCAGCTTTTGATACAAGGGGGGTAAAGAAGTAAAAGATTTATCTTGTAATGGAAGTAATAGAGATATTTGGTTCTATTTTTGCTTTAGATGCTGAACTTGAAGAAAGCAAGAATTGTTTATAACCTCTCAGTATCCTTTTCACTGTTTTTTCATTTTGTTTTGTTTTCTGAACCTTCTGTAATGTCTTTGTCCCATTCTCTGTCCTGGTTTTAACTAGCATCCTTTCCCAGCAATTGGGTGAGAGAGTTCAGAAGCTGATATAAAAGGTTAATTTTTCGTATTTGCATTTCTAGTGTAAGGACATGAAGTGAGGCGAAGTATGACTTAAAGACACAATCTGTGTGGTGGGCTCACAATCTCTTGGTGAGCTCCTTTACCTTTTTCCATGTAATTCACACCTGCTTTTGGTGAACAGAAATAGAAAGGACTGAATGAGTTGTGGAGTGGGGATCTCCATTAACAAAATACACATACATTCTTTTAATTATCTTTTCTAATAGAGGTAAGCAGTGATGTGGACAATTAAAAATAAAGACTGGTTTTGAATGCAAACTTTGAGAGTATCAGTTTTATTCTTCCAGTTGTACTTTAACTAGATTTGTATTAAGGACATATTTTATGTCCTTCAGCTGTCATGGGTTGGGTAAGGGGTGGAAGAATGTGACCTGGGAGAAGACTGGATAGGAGACTGGATGATGGTTCCAATTCTTTGCAGTCTTCCTCCTCTAGCAATAAGATTGTAATTATACATTCACCTCTTTTGTCTTGTAACTTTGCTGTGCCCTCCCACTTTAGCAGGTGGTACTTCCTCATTTCTTGTCTCTGGAGTTGGTTATTTGACTTGCCTTGGCCAATGGGATGCTAGTAGATGACACAAACAGAGGCTGGAAATGTGCTTGTGCAATTGGACTTGCTCTGTCATGTCTTTGCCATCGTCATGGGGAGAGCGTGCCTTGGCTGGCCTGCCAGTCCCAGGAGGAGGCTAAGAGGCTTGTGGAGCAGAGCCAAGCTAGATGACTGCAGGGTGAAGCAGAGCTTCTCCAGCCTAGACCAGTTGTCCCCAGTTGACCTGCAGACCCCACAGAACTCATGATTGTTGTTTTAGGCCACTGAGTTACACCTTAGTGTTGTGGCATTAGCTGATACAGCCTTGGTTGGGGAAAGACTGCAGGTAACATACTGACCCTGTTAACACTGGTTACTAGGCGTTTGTCATATTGCCAGGAAGAATGACTAGAAGAAAATCTAGCCGTGCAGATTTTCTAGCTCCGAGATACTAGGCTGAGTTATTAGAAGTTGAAGGCCACAGTTATTTTTCTGCCAATCCTAAAAAGAAGTAAAAAGAGCAAGTTGCCTCACAGGACTCAGAGTAATTGTCCAGAACGGTCTATGCCTATCTAAATGAAATGGTGCTAAGAGAAGAGAATGAAAGGAAGTCATTGCACTGAACACTGGAGTCGCCAAGCTGTTGACATTTCTGAGGCACCCGAACCTTCAAGCTTGCAGAATATGAAGACTGCCTCCTTTTGCTTCTGCCCTGGGCATGAACAGAATGTCTCCGGTCCCAAGCAGTCTTATTCTGCCCTGATGTTCTGTTTGATTTGGAATTAGAACTTTGGAACCAGTCAAGGCCCTTTAGACAACTGGAAACTTAGACTGTCTCCACTAATGTATGCACTATACACGTGTTGCCAGTGAGACAATCTGTTTCATTACTGAGTTCTTATTAAACCCTGAATGCATATATAGTATACAGATAGACACATCCTGTGCTTAGTACTGTCAGGAGTTATGAGAGACTCAAAATACAATAAACTGTCCTTTTCTTGGGGCCTAATTAAGGAGTAATATTAAGACAATTGAAATGATTACCATGCAAAGATAACTTACTTTTCACTTGATAAAGACATTTTCCTCCTTCTGATGAAATCACCCTAAAACAATCAAGAAAAATTCCATCTTTGAAGAATCCAGTGAACATCTGGAAACCACCATATGAAGACAGAAGGTGAATGGAGAAAAGGCAGACGACATATCAGAGTAGAGAGACGTCACATTCCCCAGAGGGGAAAAAGGAAGCCAGTGGTCCCCTGAAAAATCCTGACTGCCTCAGGGATGGGAGGGGACAGTAAGGAAGGCAGAAGTGAGGCAGAGGGCAGAGGAGGAGAGTGTTTTAAGTCTGTATAAGGAGTACTTAGGTATATAAGATTTCTACCCCACAGCTGGCAGGTAGGTATTCCACCTGTACCCTTGTAGGAGATGACACGATATTTTTCTGGAGAAATTGAACCAGGGAGGTTCTGGATGTTGGGACATCAGTTATAAAGGAGGGCAGTAATGATGTGCCTCATGGAAATCAATGAGATTAGGGGAAAGACTACACACTGAGCAGTGAGATTCCCTAGCCTTCCCTCACTTCCAGCACGAGAAAGACAGCGGCTAGCTCACACCCATCAGACAGGAACCTGGAGGATCCTTCTCTGGAGAATGTGAACCACCTCATAGAAAAGACCCACAGACAGTGACATTTGGGGATCCTCAGTGAAAACACTCACTGGGCATCAGATTGCCCTGCAGTGGAGCCAACCAATCTGTGTCTCTAATCAGTGTTTTAGTATCTTATTGTTTAATGCAAATGAACACAAAGGATGATCAGATATTTGAGGGCCATCTCCAGCATGAAAGAAAGAAAACAAAACAAATAATACAAGTTGAAAAATGAACTCAGAAGAAATAGTGTACAGGAGCAGAAAATAACTTAAAGAACACTATTTTAATATCCTTAGAGAGATAAGAGGAGAAGTGTTATCCATAACAGATTAAGGAAACATCAGATTCAGTTCCTCCAGCGGGAGCACATTCCCCAGTACTGCACAGGGGCGGAGAGAGCAAATGGTGGTGTATTTTTCTTCATCCATGTTCAGCTGCCTGAGTGCAGGCACAAAGCAGGCAGAGAGTTGGACTTAATATTATGTTTTTGCCATGTGAGTTTGACCAAGGCAGAGAGAGGCACAGGAGTTGAGTGTGTATGCAGGGAGCAATTAGAATGATTGACTCTGGAATTTAAGCTGAATATATAGTGAAGTGAGGACATCATAAGGGTAAAGGAAAGACTGGGAAAAGGTGAACATTTCAAAAGATTATGGATTCCAATGGGGTTGAAGGATTGTGAGGATAGAGTACCAGAAGGACTAATCTGAAAGGTGAGAGTTGTTGTCAGACAGTGGAAAGTATAAAATCAATCAGAATCCTACTCACCCTTCTAAGTTCCACTCAAATACTGTCTCTTTCATGAAGTCTTCCTTGACACTCCAAGGATTCCACTTCTCAATCTATCCAATTTCCAGAGGAGTTTTGTGTTACATTTGTGACCCTTGGTACATTTTGCCATACCCGTGTATTTGTTTCATCTTTCCCTAACCCAACTCAAGTGTAGGTTCCTCTGAGGAAGAGGCTGTAATTACCATTCTTTGTATCTCTGTTGCATTCCAAGGGCAGATTCTTGAACCTAGACTCAGTACAACATTGCAGACTTACATAAGGTGAGAAGCAAGAAAGATTTGCGTTGTTTCAGGTTGGATTCCCTGGGAGGTGCACTCTGACGTGGAGGTTAGCCTTTCAATCACATAGTAGGGAGTGGCCTTGGCTCACCACCTGTGGCAGGGAGGGGAAAGAAATGGGAGTAGGCAGAGGGAGAAGCCGGGCTGCCATGCAGGTTCAACAACAGCCTCAGTCAACCCCTGGGGAGCTCTGGAGGTAGCATGGCCCTTTAGAGAGCCCCCAGCACCTGCTTAGGCCAGTCATTGGACGTAGGAACCCCCATGGCTGAGCCAGTCCTTAAAGGGACAAACAACTGAAGGCCTTCTGCGGACACCTCTACTGGCAACAGGGACAACGCACCCTTCTGAAAGGGACCTGGGTGTTGTGTCACAGTGTCTGCCACTGCAGTTCCATAGTTCCATAGTTCTCTAAGGAGTCAGAAAAAAGTGTAAGACTTCTCTTTTCAGAGGGAGTGAAGAAGGTGAGATTTCTGTGGCTGAAGACTGTGGGACCCGTGATGATTTTCAGAGAGGAAATGGTGCAAAATAAATTTTGGCATATTTTCACTTGCTTTGGCTTCTTCCTTTTCTTTACGGCACATCTGTCTTTTTGTCCAGTTAACAGGAAAGCGTGCTATTTTTTAGTTCTCATATTTTTGCTCTTTTTCTACTGTTTATTTTTTTAAATCAGAATATTTCAGACTCGAAGCCAGATCTCTCACTCCAGCTAATTTTCTTTGATGGAGAAGAGGCTTTTCTTCACTGGTCTCCTCAAGATTCTCTGTATGGGTCTCGGCACTTAGCTTCCAAGATGGCATCAACTGCACATCCACCTGGAGCGAGGGACACCAACCAATTGCACGGCATGGTGAGTCCAGGTAATTTTCACGGTGCTGCAGCTACAGACTCTGCTTCAAAGGAAGCCTGTGGCAGGGAGGGGAAGCCAATTAAAGACCTAAAAATGCCAAGGCATTCTTGGAGCAGAGTGTTTATAATAGAACATTTTTTTGGCAGGCGTTGGGTTTTTGAGGAATCCCAGAGCTAAAAAAGAATGATTCTAGGTTAGAAGTTATGTTTGACTGAGCTCAATTAAAATGATGTAAAAATTCAGAATAAGGAAACATCAGATTCATTTCAGTCCCACGGGAGCACATTCCCCCAGTAAATATTAGAGGTGGAGAGAGCAAATCCCATCTTTGAGGCCTCTGTCAAGCCAGAGGAGGCTGGGGTCTTGGGAAAAGGAGTAAGAGTGGAACGTAGTATGGGGATGAGAGTGAAGAATTTCCTCGGTGGCTTCAAAGCATTATAGTGACTCCAAGTGTGTACAGGACATTTTGATGTGTCAGTTTTGATGTGGTGTTTTGGCATGGTGGTGGACACATTTCAGTGCTGCCTTAAAACCCTGCTCCTATTACCAAGTAATGGGTGCAACTTATGGCCCCTTACTCATCCCCCATTCTGACCCCACAGCCCATACCTAGTCCCTTACCCCACCTTTGAATTTCCTTCCTATTCTGGCTCTCTTCCCATATTTGACTCACTCAGTATTTGAGTCCTCACTAACCGCAGCATGGAACCCCTGAGACTTCATTCTTCCCTGTGGCTCCATCCATCCCTGGCCCTCACCCTACCTGTGAACTGATAGCCTGTTTCTAACCCTCTCCGTTCATCCCTGTCCTTTGCCCTATCACTGACCTTCACCCTATGAGTCCAAATGGCCACATTCAATGTCCTCTGTGAATCCAGCACATCTCATGTTGGCTTTCTCTCTGTCCCGTTGCCCACTGGCAGCTCATAAGGGGTTAGGAGAACATAACTGGTACCTCATTTAATCACTTTTGCTCAAGTGGCTAAAAAGGGTTCAGAGGAGAAGAGACCTGATTGATCGGCAGGAGGAACAAAGTTATTTGTTTACCAGTCCAAATATATGAATCCATAGTGATAGTTAGACCATTTTTTTCCCCCAGAAACAAACTCTTAGGCGCTTATCCAACCTTATGAATATACTCCTATTTCAAACAAGCCTATTTTTTCCCAGTGAATATATTTAATCATCATTCATGAGTTAGTAGATACTATGTCTTTAGAGTCATATAGACTCTGAAAATATTTATCTATTGCATGTCAGGATCAATGCTAGATATTTACCCATACCTTACCTCACGTATATAAATCAGGAGTTCTTAATCTGGGGTTAGTCTTCAGGGAGTCCTCAAGCCTGCTGATGCTTTATGGCTCAAATAAGTTAAGAAACACTGGTTTATTATAGAGGCTTATAGCCAGAAAGGACCTTTAGTGATCAGCGAGCTTGAGCTTCTTGTTTGATAGAAAAGGAAATGGATATCCAGGGACTAAGCTCATAGAGCTTCTAGTCAAGGAAATTTTCTTATATGCTGCTTTAAGGAATAAATAGTTACTATCCAAATGCTCTCCTTTGGCAGCTGTGTTATTATAGACTGGGGATAAAATGGCTAATTAGAATGGAATAGAAGATCAGACAGGCTTGCATGCCTACCTGAAAATAAAGCAAATGTATTCTTTTTTTTTCTTATGAAATATTTATCCAAATGTCCTCCTTCTAATTTATCCCTAGTGATATCCTTCTGGGGTTACAGACAAAAAGAATCTACAATTTGCCATTTGTCCACATTGCATAAGCAAGATTTAAAAATTTTCCCCAAAGGATTCACTTACAATGTTATTAAACCTTTTGTTCATTTATACAGCTCCGCGTTTTATTCTCAGTTATTAAAGTGCAGTTAGTTTTTTTTTTTTCACCTATTCTGCCTTTTATTAATTTTATTTATTTATTTTTGCTGTGTTGGGTCTTCGTTTCTGTGCGAGGGCTTTCTCTAGTTGTGGCAAGCGGGGGCCACTCTTCATCGCGGTGCGTGGGCCTCTCACTATCGTGGCCTCTCTTGTTGCGGAGCACAGGCTCCAGACGCGCAGGCTCAGTAGTTGTGGCTCACGGGCCTAGTTGCTCCGTGGCGTGTGGGATCCTCCCAGACCAGGGCTCGAACCCGTGTCCCCTGCATTAGCAGGCAGATTCTCAGCCACTGCGCCACCAGGGAAGCCCCGTGCAGTTAGTTTTGACTGATTTTTTGTTTTTCCATTGATGAGTATGAAATGTGTTTTGGCGACAGTAATTATACAATATTTTTTCTCCCTTAGGACTTATTGATCTTACTGGATTTAATTGGAGCTCCAAACCCAACATTTCCCAACTTTTTCCCAAACACTGCCAGATGGTTTCATAGACTTCAAGCAATTGGTAAGCACCACGGTTATTAAAGAGTCAAACCTGGTTTCTTCCCACTGACAAACACTGAGTTTTAAAATTCAGAATTTATGATTTAAGTGTGCGATTTGAGTACACAATATACTTTACTGGCTTTTTTTCTTGCTTTATTGATTAGTTTATTATTCCTATTCATCTCTTTTAGAAGACCCACTTTATTTTCCTGCATGAAACTGAATTTTAAAACGGAAACATAAAATACTACATTTCATATTTGCATATCCTTAGAAATGGCTTGGAAATATTTTCTCAGAGTCCTGTTTGAAGCATATGGAATGCATTTTTAGGGAAAACTCAGCAAAGCATGTTGGATAATGATGAATGTTATGTCCTCATAATGATACCAAAAGATATTCTTTAATGTTTCTTTCTTTTCCATCTCAGTCTTTGTCATCTTCTCTTTTCTGCTTTATGCAGATGTGATTTTCTTTTAAATCTAGTACAATCTCTGCTTACTTTCCAAAGGTGTAAGAGATGGCGATGCAACAGCAAGCCAAAATCCTTCAAGAGTCATTTAAGAGAAGGTTCAGTGTCAAATAAATGAGTGGAAGGGACCAGATAAGGTTAGGCCAGACCAGCCAAGGAAACAAAGATATCTATGGCTCAGGAGAGAGGCTTGGGGCTTGCAGAAGGAAAAGGAGAATAACTTCTTTCTCTTGTACTTCCACTCCATACACCCTTCCCTCTCCACACACATACACACGAACACCCCAAAACAAAACACAACAAAGCACAAAAAATTGGCCTCAGGGAGAGGTGAGCATGCGATAGAATTTTATTATAGAATCCAGGCCAGGAGCCCTGCTTTGAGGCAAGAACATCAGGCTAAGAATTCCTTTCTAGCCACACAGACTTCTTGGAGCAGGATAGGGTGGTACTTTCTTCTCAGCAGTGGGGAAAATGCTGCCATCTCAACTCATGCTTTTGCCACGAGTTCAGAACGTGCTTATATCCAGATCTAGAATATTATGAAAGAAACTTTTACCTGAACCTCAGACGCTTATCTTTGGCAAATTTAAATTTCTAGTTTGAAAGAATTGCTATTATGGTATTATTAATGTAAGCTTCTTGGGGACACTTCCTTACAGCATGTTTTCCTTACTTTGAGTAGCCTCAAGAAATTGGGTTTGGCCTTCTGTCGAGGATTTGATTCCCTTCTCTTATTTCCTCCACTGGAATGAATTTATATCAGTAACTCACATCTTAATACAATTTTAACCCATTGTATAACCCACTGAGTGATACTTACACTTCAAACCATATCTCTAATTGTATAAGGCAAAGTTGTAGCCTAAGGTAAAGGAATTATAATTATCAATAAACAGATGGGAATATTGTTTTGGTCATAGTAGGGGCTTTCTTGATGTTCCTAAAATCACATTATATATGAATGCTTACCACTCGGTCTAATTTTACCCTTTAAATTTAGTAATTAAAATAACCAATCCTGGAAAGTTTCATTCAGTTGTCTTAAACTCTTCTTGTGATCTCTTATCATCTTGTAACATAGGCTCATGTTATATGTAATCCTGTATGTAATACATGGGTTCTATATTGCAAGATGACAGGACTGATGGAATGTAGGCCGATGGTTCTCAAATTTTAGTGTGCATTAGAATCACCCGGAGGGCTTGTTACACCACAGATCGCTGGACCTCACCCCCAGAATTTCTAATTCAGTTGGTCTGAGGTGGGACCAGATAATTTGCATTTCTAACAAGTTCCCAGGTGGTACTGATGCAGCTGATGAGAGACCACTTTGAGAACCACTGATGCAAGTCATAATAGGTATCCCTTTCCCAAAGAGTGGTCACTCAGTCTAGTACTTCATGCCTGTTCTCTCTAAGGATTCCCCTTTCAAGCTCTGCATCTCCTCGTAAGGCATCCTTCATGCAGGATTGAGGATCTGTAAGTATCTACACCTGTGTTTTTTCTCTCCATTTTCCTCTAGCTTTCTCATTCTCCATCTCTCTATTGTTCTGTTGAGTTTCTGATTCTAAGGAGGTTCTCACCTGTAAAGCTAGAATCATGTGTGACTCTTAGAAGGACTCCAAAATGTCCATACCCAAGTTCAGCTCAGAGGGTTTTTTTTTTCTTTTTTACCAACAGGTTTATTAAGATCCATGGTCAGTTACAAGTTTGGTTTGGTTTTTGGTCACTGGCCCCAAATGCCACTATTCTGAGTTTACATCAAAATACAAAGCCCAACATTTACAGTTTGAAAACTTAAAAAAACAGACGCCAACGACAAAGGCTTTTAAAAATCTCGGTTGAAATGTTCTCCCTCCTGCCTCATCTGTAGAATGAAAGGCATGTGAGATGCTGTGAGGATTTCTGACAGTGAACTCGTGTTCATCATGTACTTTGAATATTTAAATGTTACCAAAATATGACTGTGTCTTTGAGTGCTTGATTTGATTGAAGGTACAAATGATGCTTTTGACCATCTTTGGTTGTAAACAAAGCCGGCAGCCTGCCCTCAGGGGACAAGGTGGTGACGGCCCTGATGACCTGCTGAGTGGCCTGGGGGCGTCTTTGCTCCCGTAGGGTCTCTCCTTCTCAAAAGCAGGCGTGTGGCCCAGACTTGGAACTGCTGGGAGAACAGAGTGGCCCTTGCTTTGCCAAACGTGGCAGCAAAATCAGCTTTAAAATCGCGAACCAGAGGAGAACGATTGTCTAATTTTGTTAGGGCTCCCTTTTAGGGCCTGATTCTTCTTTGGAGCCAGAGGCTGGGTTCCTGTCCTGGGGTCTCACCGCCCACCTCCAGGGCAGTGAGGGCAGAGGCCCCGGGCCCTCTGGGGAGGCCTGACTCCTGCAGCTCAGAGGTTTTTGTCATGGGTGTACTACTGCATAATGTCTTAAAACCAAGTGTCAAGATTTCAAACTCCTTATGCATCTGACTGTTGATCAGATAAAAGGATATGTTCATCTGCTGTCTAATTATCATCTGCAGAACATGAACTCCATGAATTAGGTTTGCTCAAGGATCACTCTTGGGAGAGGCAGTATTTCCAGAATTATGGTTATGGAGGTGTGATTCAGGATGACCATATTCCATTTTTAAGAAAAGGTAATGTATGAGTGTATATATGTATGCATGCCTGCACATGTGTGTTTTTTACCTATTATATTTATTGTATTTTATATGCATTTGCAACAGTCTAGAAGTGTGAAGAACCATTAAATTTAATAACTGATTAAGTAAATCATTCACCAATCATCTCATGGCTTCTATTTTTTTTTTATGAAAGTCATTCCAAATCCCTGAGGACACTTATATTTTTTCCTACACATTGAATATTTATCAAATCTCTTATACCTCTGACATCCTGCCTTCCCTTTCATAGAGCTAGATTGTATTCTTATAGTTTGTGTAACTGTGGTGTTTTCCTGCTAATAAAGAAGAAATATTCTTTTTCTTCTTTAAAATTTATTTATGTTTGGCTGCATTGGGTCTTCGTTGATGCGCGCGGGCTTTCTCTAGCTGTGGCGAGCAGGGCCCAATCTTGGTTGCGGTGCGCGGGCTTCTCATAGCGGTGGCTTCTCATTATGGAGCACGGGCTCTAGGCATGCAGGCTCAGTAGTTGAAGTGCACGGGCTTAGTTGCTTTGCGGCACGTGGGATTTTCCTGAACCACGGCTCAAACCCATGATCCCTGCATTGGCAGGCGGATTCTTTACCACTGCACCACTAGAGAAGTTCCGCCTCCCTATTCTTTACGTAGGAGCAAGAGTTATCTTTAAAAAATGTCAATCAAATTATGTTACTTCCCTACTCTAAAGCTCTGGTAGCTTGCCATCAAGTAGAAAAAGACCCAAAGTCTTTATCATGACCTACAAGGGCCTCCATTTTATACCTCTTTTCTCCCTCACCATCACCTCCTACCTCTCTCTCTAATTATTGCTCTGATCCAGCCACATTGCTTGAGGAACACATTGCCATTCCTCAAGCAGGCCAAGCACACTTCTACCTCAGGACCTTTGCACTTGCTAAAACTGCTGCCTGGAATGCTCATCCCCAGATCTTCACACAGCTTGCTTTCTCCTTTGTTACATCTGTTTAAATGTTAGCTTCTCAAAGAGGCCTTCCCTGGTTTTAAATACCTCTTATTGGCCCTACTCTCTGCCTCTCATTCCCTATTCCCTTACCTTGTTTTACTATTGTTTATAAGCCTTCTCACTTTCTAAAATTATTTTTTGTATTTGTTTATTTGTTTCTTTCTCTAGTAGAATGTAAGCTTCATATGAGCAGGGCTTTGCCTTTTCACTGATGAACCCTCAATTCCTAGAATAGGGGCTGGTACATAGTAAGTGCTTTATAATTATTTACTGAATTACTTAACATTTGTTTAACGAATGAATGACTTTGGAGTGTAAGGGTAAGATACAGGGAAGTACACAGAAGATGATGAACGATCAGCTGTGTTTATATTACTATAGTATAGTACAGTATATAGTACAGTCCTACTCAGATTTCCTTGAAGAATGATACTTTCTAGTTTACTCATGGGAAATATGCACTTAATTACAAGTTGTTTCATCTTGTTAGGTGTTCCAGTTTTGCATCTGATACCATCTCCTTTCCCTGAAGTCTGGCACACCATGGATGACAATGAAGAAAATTTGGATAAAACAACCATTGATAATCTAAACAAAATCCTAAAAGTCTTTGTGTTAGAATATCTTCATTTGTAATATTCTGGTTTAGTTTATGATAATTGCATCTAGTATTATATTCAAAAGTCAAAATAATAATCTGACTCCAGATGCTGTGTGGAAACTTCTGTGTGGAAACTTCTATCCTATAGATTCATTCTATAGGTATCTTTGAATATCCTAGATTTATGTCATGTCCAAATTGCTTATTCATTTTCATCTAGTGATAAAGAAAGGGAAATGTAAGAAAAACTGAAGGTAAATATCTTTTAAAAACTTCTTTAGATAAGAAACTATGAAGCTAAATCAGATGTGTATAGTCAGTATCACGTTTTTCTAAATAGTACTTAAATATGATGGTCATGTGCAAAGTGCAGCCTTAGTTTTATGATTTTCTTATCCTTGGGAATCTATTGCATATAATACAAAACAGAGATGCAGTTTGAAGACTCAATTTCTTTGAGAAATCTTTGTACGGTTTATTTCATGGAAGTTAAATCAGAATTAAATGCCATGTTGTGAATGTCTTTTTTAATATATGAATGAAAAATTGTATAACTTAAAGTATAGCTCAATTTTTATAGAGTTTTACAAATTTAACATTTTTATTGTAAAATAATATAGTCAGTACCAAAAATCTAGAAAATGGAGAAAAGAAAAAAAACCTATAATTTCATTATATTAGCAGAGTAACCATTTACTCTAGTTTTCCCTCACATATTTTCAATGCAGTTTTTATGTCATTATAATCAAACTCTACCTACAAGTTTTTGGCCTTTTTTCTGTTAAATTACATAATTACCAGACATTTATTTGCTGTTTTGATCTTGGGTTGAGATGAAGACAGAGACTGTTGAGTGTGTCCTCCAGAGTCAATATGAAGGTAACACACTGGGAGGACAGAAATTAGGATCATTTTTGTGTAGGTAAATTATATGGTATTCAAGTTTGTTTAATTACTTATAGCCTATTTCTTTCAGGAGATTCATGGAAGCAAAATTGTTTGGGCTGGAAACACAGAGGAATTCATGGATTTTTCTTTGGCTATGGGAAACAGTTATCTAAAAATACAAACTTGATCAGTTAAAAAATTAGGAAATTGATCCTGCCATATAGATGAAGTTAGCTGGGGGCTGTTTTTTTCATGTGCTATCTGTTCTGAGCAGACATTTAATAAACCTCACTGAATTAATGTGCTGAGGCTGGGTAGGGAGTGAGATAGACAAGCTGAGTGGGAAAGCGATGGCAACCTTAAGTCCAATAACAAAGAAAGTCATTGGAAAAGGAATTTACTTATGAAAACAAACTTTCCAGGTTAAAAAAAGGGATCAATATAATTTTATCTATATGAATTGATACAATTTTATAAAAGAATAGCCAGTTATAGACAATTATATCTAACAATATCTGTCTATAATCTCATGTTGGTAAATTTTATAGAACTAGATTTTGATAGGTTTCTTTTTATTTTACAAATCTTCTAAAATTATATAAAGGGAAGTCGTGCCTTTGTGAGTTAAGTAATGTGAACAGCTAACACTTATTGAGTACTAACTCAGTGTCAGTGTCATAGGTGCTTTATATGTTTTTACCAACTTAATCCTCACAACAATCCTAAGGGGTAAGGGGTATTATTAACCCCATTTTATGATGCTCAGAACGGTTAAGTCTCTTCTTCAAGATCATGAAGCTAGTAAGTGGCAGTGCTGGGTTTAGAACCCAACCAGGCTGGTTCTAAAGCTCATCCTCTGAAGCACTTTAGAGTACTGCCTCTTTACATGAAAAGACCTTTGAAGAAAGTTCTTAATGCCAAGTGCAAAGCAACAATGGTGTCTTGAAATTTTTATAGGTCATTCATTCACTCAGTCTGGGAGAGCATTCTTAAATCACTGCTGCCAGGGTTCACCTGACAATGTTAGGCTTCAGAGGCACGTCATTTGTGATAGAATTATTTCTCTGCCATATCAAAGGCTATTTTTACATAAGCATGCATATAACAGAAATCAACATGAATGGATCCAGGGCTAAAGAATCTAAGCCACAAAGCAGGATTAAAAGAGGCTGAGTTTTCTGGATTAATTTTTGGATGAGTGAAAACATTTGCAAGGGGTTCAGGGAAAACATTTTTTTTTAAACACCAGAAAAGAAATGATTTAATTGATGATATTAAAACAGAATGAGGGCTTCCCTGGTGGCGCAGTGGTTGAGAGTCCGCCTGCCGATGCAGGGAACACGGGTTCGTGCCCCGGTCCGGGAAAATCCCACATGCCACGGAGCGGCTGGGCCTGTGAGCCATGGCCGCTGAACCTGCGCGTCCGGAGCCTGTGCTCCACAGCGGGAGAGGCCACAACAGTGAGAGGCCCGCGTACTGCAAAAAAACCCAAAAAAACAGAATGAAAAGAAGTTTTAATAAGGAACCTAAAAATTAGTTGACAGTACTACATATATAATTATAAGCCTAAATAATAAATTCTTTTTGAGGCAGAATGAAATAAATAGATCTACTATAATCTGTTGGGTTGACAGTTGAATTATTTTTAGAGGAGGAAGTTGGAGGATATGTTGAAATGAGATAAAAGGAAAAATAAAAACATAAGCAGATTAACTCAATGAAAGTTTCCTTCCTTCTAAGTGGCATATTCTAAAATTCTACTCACTAAGAGTTTGTACTAATATGGGAAAAGCAATCATGATACTGGAAAGGGAGACATTTTAAGGCATTAATCTTGATATTAATCCCTGAAATATGTTCTGTATAAAAATGCCAGTCAGAAATATTACTTTAAAAATTATAGCTACAAAGGCAGGGTTCCATAAACATTATGCTGTATTTGGAATTTTTCTATATGCATTTTGGAGCATTTTACTGCTCCTAAGAGAACAATTTGTATGTTTTGTCTATTACTGTCAACCCTGCAACACACAGGGCTATTTTTCTTCTTCAAAGAAATGAGTTCAAAGGAAAATATTCATAAAAGAGTGTTCATAACCTTGGCATCTAAAAAAATCAAGAGTCTGTTATTGTAGCTCGAGGGTTGTGGCTGGGAAAGACAAATCCTTCAAACTGGAGAAATTTTTTAGATGGTGAAGCAGTTGTCATAAGAACAAAGCAGCCCATGTTTTCAGCTCCAACTCCAAATCCTTAAGTTGTTTTTTCCACGGAGCTTCTTTCTTCCATCAAAGAGGTGCATTCATTATGATGCTGTAGCAAGATCATGTGAAAACTGAGCATTTGCTCCACTTGGCTCAGCTGGAGGTGATTACTTCTTATAAAGGAGGGAAGGACAAGCCGCAAGACATTTCTATTTCTCTGATGTACAGACGCGCCACATGAGGCTTGATCGTGATATATTCTGCTGAAAATGAAATCTCAGTTTCTTTGTAAGCCCTAAACCTGAGGAAAGAAGGTGTGGGGATAAAGGATATAAAGAGAAGATGCGGGAGACTATTTATGGCAGCCCTAGTAATTTAAAGCAAAGCTAACATAGGAGATTTGGGGAAATTACTTAAATTTGCTGTTTATGAAAGTATGGGGCTTGCTTTCATAGCCAGTCTTTTCACCAACTTTTGGCTTCAAAGATGAATGTACGAAAGATTGAGGTTTCACTCTGAGTTTCAGAGCCACTTTCTACGCAGTCTCAAACTCTAAAAGTCATTTGAAGTGGTTTAATGGCCTCCCCCTCTCCCTTCTGTCTCCCTTCTCTGTCGTCTATGCTACATCTTTCTCAGCCTTCAAATAGCTAACCTACTGCTCTGTTGCGAGGAGCAGGTCCCACTGTGGAAAGTCACCGCCATATTTCACAGAAGGACTGAGGTGGAGAGGAGACGTCATTAGCTAGTTGAGCCAGTAGGGTGGTATGGGACACCCTTCAAATCCTCTTAAACATGAAAATGGGCCCTAGGATCCTGGCACTACAACCAGCAGCAATAATTTATGGCAGTTTTGAAGACGGCTGATATGAAAGGACTGTGTCATGGCTGTAGCCCTCAGCCTGAATTTGGTTGCTGTGCTCACATGATGTGAAATCATCTTACTCTGCCCATATTTCAAAGGCAACACATGGAACGTAGCCCAATCTCCCAACACATCCAAATTTGCCAGGGAGAATTTAGACCATTTGTTTGAGAATTAATATTAAGAGCACAGAATTGTCAAGAAGAGAAAAAAACGATGACTTAAAGCAAAAAACAGACAAGCAAGTAAACAAACAAAAATCCCAACCAACCAACCAAACAAATTAAAACCCTACAAAGATCACAAAGGTAACATTAAAAATAGATTTTAAAGCTGTTAAATTATAAATAGCACTGAAAACTTTGTACTATTATATTTACAGATTACTACAGGGTACAAGAGGTCCTTGGCAGTCAAGGATTTAACGTTTGTGGTTTTGGTGAACAAAGAATGACATGCAGTGAATTATCTGAGCTAAGAGATTAGCGTGGAGAAGTGGATGAGCCTAGCTGGCTTCCAGCCATCAATTTCATTGTTATTCTCTAGTCATCCTTGCACTAACACTTGGAAAGTAGTAAAACTAACTTGTTTGTAAAAAAATGAATGTATGCCTCCCCCCCATCTCCTAAGCCAATTGCTCTTACTGGAGATGTAATTAAAGAGGTCTAGAAAAATAATGGTGCTGTACAGATAAGAGCAACAAATGTTCACCATGGTGAGCGAATGAGCTAGGTGACTTATGCACAATGCTGCCATTCTCTTGTCTTACAAAGGATGTGGCATTATAATGTTCCCCTAGAATGAAGATGTACTTGATCCTCCATCAAAGTTCTTAAAATATAGGGTGAAAATCTTGGAAGAGGAGCACAGATGTTATAAGAGTATCTTATGGCTCTGTTATCAAACCAGTTCCATTTGCCTGATGCACAGCAAGCCAAATGCTGAGATGCTGAGGTTTACAGCTGAGAAGGTGTTTATTCACAAAGCAGCCGATCGGGAGACTGACGAATAAGTCTCAGATCTGCCTCCTGGGAGGCAAGGGTGTTGGGATATTTATTGGATAAGCAGAGTGTCTTAGGCATGGGGGAAGGTGATTGGAGGTCAGGAAAAGATGAGGTAATCGGTGTTTTGTGCAGGTGCATCTGGGTTACATGCTTTTGCATGTTCAAAATAGAGGCACTTAGCTTGATGAGAGGGTGGAGTTTTCCAGCCCACTGATGTCTGACAGGACACCTGGGCAGGCCCTGTTTTAGGGTCGGTGGTCCCAACCAGTTCCAACTGCCTTGCACTGGACAAGAGTTGACTCCAAGTTCCTATAAAACAACTGAGCTGTGTGAAGCTGGGAAGGTATGTAATTAAAGAGAAAAGAAAGAAAGAAAGAAAGAAAGGAAAATAAAGTGAGCTTAATCAATGAAGGCAGTTTATAAGCCAAGGGGTTTTAACAAACTGTTCCTTTATCTGTTGTTCTGTAAGACAAGCTCAAGAATTTCTATAGTTATCAGCTTCTGTTAACTCTATGCAGTATGCTTTCACCTCAGGCTTTGAACATCTGGATTTAGAAGATTCCTAAAT